TGGAAGAATGATCAGGAATACCTAAAAGGTTATGGGAAACACAAACTGAATCTGGGCTCTATTGAAATGAGATTTGGATCAATGTCTTGAATATAAAAGCCAGGAGATTCAGGCTGAATTAGGAAGCATTTCCTGACCATAAAGACTATTAAGCAATGGAACAGTCTGCCAAGACTCTTCCTTGCTAGTGGATTTCAAACTGGGACTAGATGGTTACTTGCTAGATAGAACCTATACTTAACAGATAAGATAACTTGATCTATAAAATACCTTCCAACTCATACATTCTGTGATTGATCATACCTACCTGTAGCACTCATTTGCCCACCTGCCTGCACTCATCCATATCACCATCTGCCTGCCCACACATTCACTTGCATGTACTACCCATTTGCCCACCTCCTGCTCTTGTGCCTACCAGTAGCACCCGCTTACACACCTGTCCATAACATCCACTGGCTACTACACTTGGACCTACTCATAACATCCAACCACCAACATTTGCCTGTAGGGCACACTCACCTTCCTACCTGAACTCACACTTGCCTGTAGCACACCATGTTCACACACACACACACACACACACACACACACACACACACACACACTGTACCCTTGCTCACTTTTGCCAGGGAATGATTATCTCCTGGATAACAAAATAAAGAATTTCAAGACCGAGAAACTTTACAGGCAATCTAAGATCTAACATGAGCAAACATTATTGCATATCCTCTGTCTTCAAGACATCAGCGGGCATGCAAGAAGCTAGAAAGGCATGCAAAAAGCCAGAAGTGATTTGAAAATGTTCAGTGCAGTCAATCAGTATTCAGTGGCTCTACTGAATACTGTGGTTCATCATGCGATGACTTTAAAACAAGCTTTTAACACAACTCTTATCTCCTTAGAATTGCAGCCATTACATTTCTCATTACTAGCCAGAACATACTTCTACCATTTCCAAGTGCATACACCAAACATAAAACTCTTTGAACTACATAAAAAAATATGTAATGTGACTATATAAGTGTTGCCTGACTTAACCCTGTAGGAACGGTACTTGGTTGTGGCCAAGGGTAGTTTGTACAGAAATGACAGTATATCTGTCAACCAGTTAATCACCCATAGAAATAAACAGTTCATTTCCCCTTTTGTGACCTTCTGACAAGCAAAGTCAATGGGAAACCAGATTCACTTAATGACCAAGTTACTAAATTAAGAATTGTAGTGATTCACTTAACAACTGTGGCAAGAGAGGTCATAAAATGGGGCACAATTCACTTAACAAATGTCTTGCTTAGCAACAGATATTTTGGGCTCAGTTGTGGTCATAAGTTGAGGACAACCTGTAATGAGAATGAAAATAGAAAGATTTCTGTTCCCACATCCACTGTTAGACTTTTCACCCCAAAAACCCTCTAAAGTCCCCAAGCTGACTTTTGGGGGAAGGATCAGATCTGTCCTTTTATATGATTCGGGATGATTTAAGGATAAAAATGGGAACGAAAATGGGAAGATACCATCCGGAAACAAACACTTCCATTCCCATCTTTTATACACTGAAAAATTCACTCATTCATTCACAGACTAGCAAATTTCAATTTCATTCTAGGTAACAGGATGAAACTAGAAGGCTTCCTACGGTCTCCTAGAAAGCCAGGAAACTGATTTAAGACCTTTGCTCCTTTCAATATTGCCCATTCTGATCTCATCATGAGGTAGGACATTTGCCACTAAGTGTCCCATGCCCTCTATAATAAGACTTTTACCCCTCTGTTCATTTACATCTCTCTCTAAAAGTAGCAAAGGTTTGCTAGGTTATGTTTCACCCACAAATGGTTGCTAGTAATCAGTGATGTCAGGGTTTTTGTTTCTTTTACAATGACCAAAACATAGTTTCTGCCTGTCTACATATCTGTGTAATGAAGCACTTAAAAGTCAGGGCAGATTCTATCCTGTCTTGACTTCTCCTTCACCAACAGACACTTTGGATCAATCACTTTATGTTATAGGTCACTGGTCTGCTTAATCCGCAACCCAACAAGCCACAATTTTATATAAAGTTCTCTTAGGTTTGATTGAAACAAATATATGAAGCAGGAGAAGGGCAACTGGCCTTTGCAGGGAATTTTTTTAAATCTTAGTAAGAGCAGCCACTCTTTCTTGCAGGCTGCTGAGCTCAGAAGAAAAAAAAAAAAAGGTTTGCAAGGAGAGCTGATGCTACCGTCGGCTTTGTCTCCATTTTCATCTGCCAGCAGTCCTAATTCACCAGAGCAAAGATGGTTCAGTGGATGAAAAAGCATACCTCCACCCATGCATAACAAAAGACACAAATCAATGTAGACACAAAGAGTGTGACTGTGTTAATATTTTTGTAATTATTGAAGATTAAATAGAAGCAAAGCTCTTTTGAATTATGTTTCTTGGTATGAACATATTTAGAAATGGGTCTTCTGCTCCAAATCCTTAGTGTGTGGGTGTGTGGGTGTGCATGTGTGAGAGTGTAGGCAACAGAAATAGAAATATTTTTGGGATTCAGATTAAATCTTTTATGCTGTTCAATTAGAAGAACATGAACATTGTTTTTTTTAATGTACGTTTATTCCAAATGTTCAGCTCTCTGTAAATGACAGTTTTAATATTTTTACACATTTACATTGAGCAATCTAAAGGGCATGATTAACAATATTGGCAATTAGCAACTTAGTCTGAAAGGTAATTTTCTGAAAAACGAAGGCAAGGCTGAATTGTAAATCAAGACATTTCATGGGGGCTATTTTGCTGTTACATTTTGAGTTTAAAATTTAGAGATACTGAATCATACTATTTATAAAGAAGTATAGCTTTAGAGATTTGTGCTTTTAATAATTGGTACGTGCAGCAGGAAAACACGAGTACCTTAAAAACCAATGCAATAATGACAGGTAATCAAGAAAAAATTCTAGTAAAGAGAACATTTTCTGTAAAAGAAAATTGTGTTGAAATGCAGAGTTAAAATCCGCATCGAAAATCCAGACAAATTATTGAGAATAATACACTACAGAAAAAGAGATTAATACAATGTCAGGCCACCAGCCCATGTAGTTTAGCATTGCATTTCTGAGTAGAAGATTTGCAACATTTTGCTTCTTGCTGCTGCCAAAGATAGATAGATAGACAGAGCCAGAACTGTAGAAAAAGCATTAGGAAATTTAAGGCTCAGGATGCAATTTTAGTCCGCAGAAGCAGTTTCCAAATTATGGGAAGCAAAAGCAAAAGCTTTGGTTAGATTCCATCCTGAGCATTGTGTGCTACTCTGGGTACCCTATTTTAAGGATTCAAATATAATGAATAAGATGATAAGCTTTTTCAGTTCTGAAGTTAGTAAAACCAGTATGGAAATACACTTATCATTTTGTTTAATGCACCAAATACACAGGTGTATATGCTCATGAGCAATAACTGTGAGAGGAATCTAGGAGTCCTAGTGGACAACCACTTAAATATGAGCCAGCTGTATTCATCAACAGAGGCATAATATCAAGATCATATAAGAGTTAATACCACTTTAAACCACTTTGATAAGACCACACTTGGAATACTGCATCCAGTTTTGATCACCATGATACAAAAAATGTCGAGACTCTGGAAAGAGTACAGAATAGCGCAACAAAGGTGATTAGGGGGTTGGAGACTAAAACATATGTTGAATGGTTACAGGAACTGGGTATGTCTAGTCTAACAAAGAGGACTAAGTTTAAGGGTAGAACAAGAAGTCACAAATGGAAACTTATCAAGAAGATATCCAATCTAGAACTAGGGAGGAATTTCCTGACAATGAGAACAATTAATCAGTGGAATGGCTTGCCTCCAGAAGTTGTTGAGTGGAGGTTTTTAAGAAAAGACTGGACAACTACATGTCCGAAATGGCGTAGGGTCTCCTGCTAGAGCAGGGGATTGGACTATAACTCCAAAGTCCCTTCCCATTGTGTTTATCTGTATTCTCTGAGGGAGATATTCCAAGGTAGTTGCAATAAGCTAAAATACTAGCAAATATCTTACTAAATAAAAAGGAGACAACAGAACCTGATGAAAGATACAACAGGATCAGAATAAATATGATATCCTGTAGACACCCTACTCCTGATGGGTTACATTCCTTATTGGCACCCAATTCCTCCCCCCATTTTTGCTAAATGTTTTGGCAATGTATGAGATTTAGGCTTTTGATGATGATGGCATTTGATAGTAGAAAAGTTCAACTCCTAATATGTTGCTCACAAGGGCCTGAAAATGTCAGAGAAAGTTCATTTACTCTCCAGGATCTCTCCATGGTACTGAAGAGCACGGAAGCTTTCTTGCTGTCTTCTATTGATCCATCTTGACTCATATCTTTTGGGGGTCTTTGAGTACATTTAGAATTTTGTGAATGTATTATGAAGCCTTTAAAAAAATTCATAGTTAGCGGAATGAATTACAAAACTTCCATTTAACAGAAGGCAAACTGGTGAGTCCATTCCCCATGTTTAGGTTTTGCTTAAATGCCTCTGGTTTTATATAAGGCCAAGGGACATCTTTGAAAACAAAAAAAATATGGTTGAGAATGGTACTGTGCATCTATTTTTAACTAGAAGGACCTTAAAAATTGATGGTTTATTGAGTCTGATAAGCACCTAAAGAGGTTTCAGGAGTATAATGGTGTTCAGTGAGAGTAGATCTTAAGCCGCCAGTGTGGCATCACTGAACACCATTATACTCCTGAAACCTCTTTAGATGCTTATCGGACTTATTCTTTGAATCTTTTTTGGAGACTGGATGTGGAACTCAGGTCCAGACGCTCCATGTACTTAAGTTGTGAAAGCAACTAATTCTTTTCCTGGTTGACATGTCTAGGGCTCCACTGCAATCCAGGAGATAGGATCATTTCCCAGACTCAGAACACACTTTACACGTATACATGAAATTTCAGTTCTGAAAAAGAAATAGTCCAGGAAGTAGAAGGAATAAAACTCAAGACAACCATCTACTGTTATAGCTAGGAGGTATATTAAACCATATGTTATACAGGAGTTTGTTTTCATTACTTCTTGTCATTATCTGGAAATACAGCACATAAGTCAAAAGCTGCTGTGTTTATTTCCTTTCTCACATCCACATTTATTAGATATACCAACCTTGGCAACTCTGTAAGTTATATAGATAGGCTTGCATAAGGTCTAAGTGTTTCCTTTAATATTACAGGACACCATAATTAGGTCTTCTCTGTCATGATAGGCAACTAGAGACCACTTATTCTGGGACAGAAATAGTTAACATGGCCTTGCACTTTTCTTCTCCCACTCATTTCCATTATATGGTTGGGTAGTAAATTTGAATATATAAGATATATATATTCAAATATATATATATAAGGTGATTATTGGGGAAATTGAAGTTCATCACATAATACCTTATCAGCATAGTTCTTTCATGCACCCTTACCCTGTATATCTCCTGCAATTACATAGACCATTCAATAGAGAAAACAGATATATGCCCTGATACATGTGTAGGAGTCAATGGAAATATACCAATTCTTTCATTACAGAGAAAGAAGAACCAGCCACTTATACAAGTTAAGCCAAAGAACAGTTAAATCAAATCCGAGAGATATGGGAAAATATTTACAAATGTATACACAGCAAGAAAAACAATTTTAAAAAGTTTTTTCCCTCAAGTATTCTCCCTCGTGCCATACATTTCCATACCAATTAGCTGTTGGTAAAATAACATTTTGCAGCCACTGAAGGCTTTCAATCCCCCCCCCCCAGGAAATCCAGCTTCTCTCATCTTGGGGTACAACTCTGTCGTGTTGGCATTTCCTGTCTAGAACAAAAGCTTTCCCAGCAAGCAGGATCTTCTGGTGCAAGAGGTATAGCGGAGGCGACTAAATCATTGAAAGTCAGTATTGTAAATGCAGTTTTATTGGTGGGAATCATCTAAAAGAAGGGAAAAAATGAATTAAGATTTTTCTGGTTGAGAAGCAAGACTGGAACTACTCCTCTTAAAAATATAATTTTTTTTCATACGTGAAATGAAAGACAAAGCAAACGATTTTCAGGTCAACCAGTATGTTCAAATTTGATACAGATCCTAAAGAATTCAAGATGTAAAAGCTCATCTCAGTAGAAATAGTGATCATCGTGCTACCAAGTTTAATTTATAAGTAGACTGGAAAATTGCTCAAGAATTCCAAAGCAGTCACATCTGATTTCAATGCTGTAAAAAAAAAACTGTTAAAAAAGAAGTTAAATGGAAAATCAAGGTCGAATGTCTCTAGATTACTTGCAGATTAGTCATCAACACACTGATAGTAATTGAGTTAGAATGTGCACCATAGATCAAGAAAGGTACTATCCAAGTCCAAGAATTTAATATGAATAATTTTCACTGTCAAGAAAACGATTATAAAAATAGTACTCCTTTAAGGAAATGGAAATATCCTCCAAATGAGAAAAATGGATCACAAGCATACAGAAAACAAATGCCAAGAGGCCAATAAATAGGGCTGGGAACTTTTTTTAAAAAAATCAGGGGCTGCAATCTATTTTCTGACCACAAGGATTTCTTCCAGGAGGATCTGTTTCCCCACTTGGTCCTTCAGATTTTCCAATGGTGCATTCATAACTGTAGTAATTAAGTCAATACACTCTGCTGCTGGTCATCCTCTTCTCTTTCCTTTCATTTTTTTATAACTTTATGAACTTTGACAGAGAACTAGATTTCCCCCTTATGTATCTGAAGTACGATCATTTGAGCCTGGTAATGTGTATTTTGAGTGAGTTCTCTTGAGTTGATGCATTCGATGATCTATTTGTTTGCTTGGCTATCCATGATATTTTTAAAGTCTTTTCAGATCCCAAGGTTCAAAAGTGTCAATACTCTTTCTATCCTGGTTCTTCAAAATCCAGCTTTTGCTTCTGTAAAGTGCCACAGGGAATACCATGGTTTGCACAATTCTTATCTTTGATCAGCAATCTTGACGGCTGCTCTGTTGCGTACTACCCTGTGGCATATATATTACTTTTTTACGGTTGGTGATTCTAAAAGGTAGCAGCTACCTACCCCTTCAATATCTTCATTGTCAGTTCTAAAGCTGGTTATATCTGTTACTATTGGTTTGATCTTCTTACTTTTAGTCCCAGTTGCTCATTGTGGATCTTGAGCTTGCACGTGCTTTGAATTTTGGGGCTATCAGAGTAATATCATCAGCATAGCATATTATTGATATTTCTTCTTCTGGCTTTTAAATTACATCTTCTTCCATTTCAGTTTCCTCAATATATATGTTGCATGTAATTTGAATAAATAATAGTTAAGGGGAGAGTATACAATCCTTTCTCACTCCTTTGCCAACCTAGATCCAGTCTTCTCCATTAGTCCATCATGTGAGGTTCATAATATGACTTCCTGTCCTGCATATAGGTTTTGCATGAGAATAAAGAAATGTTTTGAGCTTCTCATTTTCTAAGCATATTCTTCAAAATCAACACAAAGTATTTTCTATAGGCAACAAAGCACACACAGTTTTTGTTATTTTGGGCTTTCTCAATTATCCAGTGAAAAATGCCTTGTGTTCTTTGGTCTTTTCCATTTTGATAGCATGTGAAATTAAGGATATTGTATGATAATTTGCATACCCTATTACCTTTTCTTTGACATTGGACTGACCTCTTCTAGTCAAATGGCCACTGTGTCATTTTCCAAGCTTGCAGGTATAGTTTGGTTAGAACCTTTACTGATTTTTCTTTTATTGCTTGCCATAGTTCTTTTGCTATTGTATCAATTTCTATAGTTTCCAACTTGGTAACTTAGGGACTTATCTAACACTTGTCTAGTTCTTGTAGTTAGGGAGTTATCTTCTATGGTACCGTGGAGGTTGATTCTGTATATTTACTGTGTGGAATTTCAACACATTCCTTTTATTTTTCTTTGAATCGGTTATTATCTATCAAAGGGCATCCTTCAGCATACCAGTTTGAGACTGGAACCACTTTCTGAGCTTAAAGTCCTTTTGGAAAAGTTTTGTTGTTTTTCTGTGTCTGTTACCAACTTTAGTGCCTTTGCAGATTTGTTGTAATACTGCTTCTTGTCTCCTTTGCAGCTCTCTGAAATAATTTGTCAAGTTTGTTCCTTAGATCTTTGTCTTTCTTGTCTTTAGCTGTCTTTCCACTGTCTATTGTGACATCTAATTTGATTTCTTTTGTTTCTTGGTCTTTGGCACTTTCTTTGTATATTCATCCTAGTTCTTCTGGTTCCCTGTCAGGCTTCCAAAACCAAGAAAGACACATTGAGTCTCTTATAAGGAAGTTTCCTTTATTGTTCCTTCCCTATAGACAGAAATCTTGCCATTAAAACAAACTAATTTGCACCATTAAACATATACTCTGGGAAATACGAGGGAGGACTATCTTAAGTCTCTCCGACATAAAATATCTAAACTGGGCTGACTTTTGCTCCTCTGGCATGCATTCTCTCCTTTCTGGGAATCTGGACAATATTCTTTCATAATATCAGAGCAATTCAGGACTTAAAAACAATTTATTTTATTTATTTATTTAAAAGATTTATACCCATCTTAAGCTACTCTGGGTAGCTCACACCAACCAAATCCTCATGTACTCCTTGAAACTGCTGTGTAAATGCGCAGGATCATATTTTAGAAACTGGTTGGCACTTTTTTTCCCCTTAGCTTAACTTGGAACCTGCACGTAAGTAGATGATGATCTATTCCATAGTTCCCTTTTGTGAGTTCTTCAACCTCTTTCTACCAATAATGTATTCATTTTGATTTCTGTATAACTCCATCTGGTGATGTCCCTGTGTATAATATCACTATGGTTGTTTAGAGCAATGACATAGCAGCAGAAGTAATGGAATAATAATTCAGCCTTTTTTCCCCTTGGATTTTTTTTCTTTTGTAAAGGATAAGAATGGTAGTATACAGTCCTTTATAATAATTCAGCCTTTTTTCCCCTTGGATTTTTTTTCTTTTGTAAAGGATAAGAATGGTAGTGTACAGTCCTTTATAACTTCCCATTTCCCTCGAAGCCTCCCAATCCGGTAAAAGCTGTGCTACCAAATTGGTAGATTTTCCATCTGGTTTGGGGAGTTTGGGGGTTTTAAGGGATGTAGTGGAATTTGTTTTCCTCAAAGAGGCTGTTTCCATTTCCACTTTCATATGAAAAACAAGAAAAAACTGCAGTGCTGAAAGTAATTTGCTTCTGAGCTTCAACTGCAGAAATTCCATGTACTGGGGGGGGGGCTGCAAATAAGGAGCTGTGGGAAGCAGAAGGTTGTCTGCCTCCATATTAAAAATGCAGGTTTTTAAAATAACAAGAGCATAAAATCATACACACACAAATGTACTCATCATGTTATTCCCTTTCAAGATAAGTAATGTTATTCAGGGCACAGAAAAGATGTAAAAAAAATAAGATATTCATGGGATTAATAATAGAAAAGGAAATATAGCCAGAATTAATTTATTCTTGTTTTTAAAAACTCAACATATGAAATTGCTGACAAAATACTTAGTTTGTTTGTAAAATCTAAAGTCCATAGTCACTTTTTGTGAGATGGGCAAGCCATATATAAATTTGATAGATAGATAGACAGACAGACAGACAGATAGATGATAGATAAATAAATAAATAAAATTTAGCTCTCTATCAATTGATAAAAGCTGCCAATGTAAACTAAGGATTTAGCAACGATGCAGGGAAATATAAATGATGGACATGAGTTTAAAGAATATTTGTAGGAAAACATCATTCAAGATAGAATCCTCAAGTATATGTAAGGATAAATATTGCTGAAGAATTTGGCATGACTTTTAAATGGACATTTAATTTTAATATTACAGATATTCTGAGACAAATAAACTGGCTGAAATTGGTCTGAAATTTGTGTCAACACTGGTTGACACAAATCCTTTAAGGAACATCTTTAGTTCAACTCACCTTATTAAATAGCTTTTGATTTTCCTAAGAAGAGAAATCTATTGCAATCAGATTGAATTGTTAGGAATCACCAATTGTTAGAAATCTTAATTGCATCTCTGTGCAGAAGATTATCATTTTTCTCCAAGTGATCAAATTTCATTTTTCCCCAGTAAGGTTGCCATGTCTTGCAGAATTATCTGGTACCGTCTTTATGCTATTATTTTAGGCATTTCTGTATATTTTTTAAATATTTGATATATAGTAGCATTCTTTTTGTTCAAATATTGATCGGGGTATAAATAAATAAAATGAAATATTTTTAATTGTTTTGTAGTATAGCAACTTCTCTGTGGAGTAAAACATGCTCAAACACAACATGATCAACAGGTATAGGGTTTCCTGCCTGAGCAGGGGGTTGGAATAGATGACCTCCAAAGGTCCCTTCCAACTTTATTATTATTGTTGTTGTTGTTGTTGTTATATTTAACTGGAGCAAAATTTTAAAATTTCAGCTGATAATGAAAACCAAAATCCCACCACCACAGACAAACACATTCCCTCATATAGCATAAAATAACAAATTTCAACTAGTATTAATTTCAGATATATTATAAAAATTAAGGAAAACTTGCAGAATAATTTACCCCAGAATGGTACTTTCCAAATTCTCCTGATCTTCCAAGAGCAACCGCAATATGGTGGCAATCATCTAACCGGGTCTCCTGAGTAACAAATAAAGCAGAAGTAAGATTTGGCATGACTTACATGCTTCAGGAAGGGCTTTAGGCCAACTCGTTATGGCCAACTCACCACGGGACACCTCAATGTTGTATTATTTGTTTCATTCAATTATTTTTATTATGACCACCTTTTCATCCAAATTATTGTAACTCTTGTATTTCTGGATTAGTTTTCTTTAGTTTATTATTATTGACCACGGTGCTATCAAAATTGATTTAACTTTTATATTTGTTGAATTGCCGCACAGTGAATTGTCCTGCGGCATGTGGGCCACAGTGACTTGGCCATGGTGAGTTATGCAATTCCATCAGGAAGACTGATGACATTACAGCCTAAACTAGCCTTTTTCAACTAGATGCTTGTTTGCACTTGCCCTCTTTTCTCATTTAACAAGTAAAACAACAAAACTTGGTGATGTTGATGACTGCGAGGACATGTACTGTACCACCTAAAGAATATTATCGTCCAAAGAACAGTATGGATAGTAAAGATGCAGTCCAATTTTTTTTGTTGACCCTTATTTAAAATACAAGATGACATTTGTTTCATTTTCAAATGCCATGTTTCAAAACCAGAACTGAATTCCATAACCTAGGAGTTGAAAGGGCATTTTTCTGTGACTTCCATATTACTTCATTTTTTAAAAAAATCTAATGAATCTGAAGCTACTGTCATAACCTCATGTAGATTACAAACGTTAGAAGTTTAAAAGATGCTTCAATTGGGAATGAGTAATAGGAATTGTGGCAGTTATTTATTTTTATTTGTCTTGGGAAAATATTACATTTCATTAGGAAAGCTCATTCTTCAACCCAATCGTTACATCAAGGTGCCAAAAGTCAGATGGTAACTTCATACTTCAGACTCAGTCATTTATATCTGATGCCAAAAATATGTTGCTGCTAAAGTTATAGGATAAAGTGAGAGAGGAGGGGAGGTTTTAGCTAATCAGGAGGTAGACGCTAATAATGCTAGAGACAGTATCATTTATATCAATGCAACCTATTATGTTTCAGTTCAATATGTATGATGGATCTAGGGAATAGCTTGTAAATTAAAATCATACCTCAAATATCCACTGCTTTTCTTCTTCACCATCCAAGAGTATAATAGTTTCATTGTATGTTTTTCCTACTTCCAGTTCCACTGGCGACACATTAAACTCTATCCTTTGAAGGTCAAATCCTATTCCAACACCAATGGCTTTTATGAAGCTCTCTTTTAATGCCTAAAGTTTGACATTCAAACACAAGAGGTCATTGTGTGTATAAGTATAGGTTTGTAAATCTTTTTGAATCATTTCCAGGCATTAATTACCCCACTAAACCAATCGTGCTAGACACCATTCCTTCTCTTTACACATTTATTTAGTAATTATATATACATCATTTTGAAATTAGTGGAAGGACAACTTTAATTATTAAATTGGAATGACTACTACTCCTGTCATTTTCTATTTGTGAATCTATAAAAGCTGTCTTGAACTTGACAATTTTTTAGTATATTGGACTATAATTTCATAGTCTTTTCAAGTCTTGACTTAGATTTCATTTTTTAACCACTCCTTTTCACATTTTTTTATTCCTTCTATTTCCACTTTCTTTGTATTCTTTCAGGATGCTGCTAGCCTCTATTATAAATTAGGCCAATGGAAGCTTTGAGGAAGCTTAATTCCCGTGAGCATGGGCAACATTCTAAGAATGAGCAGCGGTAGGAATGAAAGGGCTATGCCCTTCCTCCCTCCAAAGCTGTCACTGCTCAACTGTCCTCCCCAGTCACAATACAACTTTTTAAAAACTTCAACAGCATCAAAGGAGTGGTCTTTTTTTTTTTTTTTTTTTTTAAAAAATGCAGACAGAAATGCCTAATATGTTCTAAGCATTGTGCAGGTACTGAAAAGTAAGGTAATTCCTGTGAAGAGATTCACAGTCTAATAGAAAAGAGATAAAGGGAAAAAAATTAGGATGGAAAAGGAAAGGAAGATCTGAACAGCTATTATTTTTTATCAATAGAAGGGTTCATTTATCTTTGCAAATATATTTTTTGTAAGAGGTAGACAATGTAGTCTAATTTATCTTCATTTGAGCTGGCCAAATTAGTTCTCAAATAGTCGTCAAAGAATTACCAATATGTCCTGGAAATTCAGGTCCATTGGCATAATGAAGAAACTAGCAATAAAATATAATATACTATGTACTCCTAGGTACTGGGTGTTAAGATTTTGTTGCTTTCGTGGATCAAACATTTGGAAATTAAATTTGTAAGAGCTGGATTAAATCTGATATCATTGGGTGAAACACTCTTCTACAACCTAAATTGTCAAACAAGATTGTTGGAATAATCAAATAGAAAATAATCTTTTAGTATACCTACCCCTAAACTTTTTGAACAAAGACCAAGATACAACTGGGACAGCCAGAATTACCTTTTCTGAAAAAATGATTAATTCCAGTTTTCTGGATTGTTGTAGAATTCTTCCAGAAAGTTTTCAAAATAGACATTCTACATTCTAAGAAGTGTTATCAAAAAAAAGGAATGCTTACATGCTTGAACATGGGCAAATTAATTGACTATAAACAATAAATTTTATTACCCAGTGCCTATGAAACATATCCAGCTGAAGCCATTCATTCTTCATGGACTTGATAACTTGCCATTCTTCTTCTGTGAACTGCCGTTTCATAAGCTGAAAGAAATCGGGAATTGAACCACTTCCTGAAATTAAAAAAACAGTAAAATAGGGAAATGGTAAGAGACCACTGAAATTAACATTAGCTGAAATTATTTGCTGCATTGTCAGGTCTACATAAAGCCTATTAGTATAAGGTATGAACTTAATATGCTGAGATTTTTAATCCTTACTTTATGGTGTAACTTGCTGTGTTAATCTAGATCAGAGGTAGGCAACCTTGGCTCTTTTATGACTTGTGGATTCAACTCCCAGAATTCCTGAGCCAGCATGGCTAAGCATGGAAAGCTCTCCTTTTCCCCTCAGCATGGCTGGCTCAGGAATTCTGGGAGTTGAAGTCCACGAGTCATAAAAAAGCCAAGGTTACCTACCCCTGATCTAGATAGTTATAGTTTATTCCATAAATCAAGGCAAAAAAAAAATCTATAGCTTAGCATGTTTTGTAATCCAAGCCACTGAACTGAATCTAGTTGTTTACCTTCAACAGTACAAATAGAGAGTGAGTCTTTAGGGTTTCAGATAAAGTTCTTTCTCAGGTACATAAGCCCGTGACAATTATATCGATGGAAACTGGAATATTTACATTTAGAAAACATACTCGCCTACTGATAAAAGTCTATTTTTTTTAGTTCAAGTCAATAGTTAAGTTCACAATAGGATAAATGTGTGATCTAATTAAAAAAATTAGAAAATAACACTATCTGGGTTTTGGATTAATGGCTTAACAGTTATTTTCTTTTCACTCTGATTAATTTGCCAACTTAAACAGAATCACTTTCAATTAAAACCTTTCTTTTTGAGGGTTGCTTTTGAATAATTTCTGGTTAAAGTTAGGATCAATGAATTCTTAATTATATTCAGCAGGGAGAAAAATATTTTTTTGCATGATACATAAATTAATTTCTGAAAATCATTTCTATAAGATCTCACCACAGCTAGAACTAGATTTAAACAATAATTAGATAAAATCTAGTAAAATAAACTATAAACACTTTTAAGTCAAACTTGATAACTGGCAATATATATGAGCCACTAACAGAAATATACTGTATGTTTTTGTTTTCCCACTGATGAGTTTCTTGAAGACACTGGAGCATTCAACATGTAACCAGAGGGCAAAACTAGATGGACTGATGTTCTGATCCAAGAAGATCCAAAGAACTTTCTTTTTATCATTAAGGGAGAGAAAACAGGGCAAGGAAAACACGGATTTTTCTTTAGCGAACAGAGGCAGCTTACATTTTTAAGGCTGAGTGTTACTTATCAATCTTAGTAACGAGTCAGTGTTATATCTGAATTAGCCCTGGCTAGAAGTCTAAAATCTTTAATAGGAATAGCTATTAAAATAGCCTTTTATGGGTACCATTCACGTCTGTTGCCAAAAATAGAGTTTCATTAAATATTCTACTTGTGGGTTTTTTAAAGATTGAATGATTTTTACAAATCATTAAATTTAAGATAAATTTAAGAATTTTTGAAGAAAAAAAAGTTTTCTGGACCCATCAATTTTTTGGACTTTCTTTCCAGCAGGCCATACAAAGGGGAAATGAAGATCTCCAGAAGCAACAAATGTCCAAATGACAGATCATCACTGCTGAGAAGAATGAAGAGAATGAGGATTTTAAAAAAAAAAGACGTAAAGAAAAATCATGAAATGGGCCTGTATAAATTATACTTTTTATTTTTACAAATTAAAAATAAATATATGTAACTGGTGTTATAATTGGGGATAATACCTATAAAAAACAGAATTAGTTTCTTTTATATATATATATATTAGATTATCTTGTAGCCAGGAGGGGAGAAAAGAATTTTGAAGACAAAGGTTTAAAATAAAGTTAATAGAAAAGCCAGTAGTAATACAATTCTATAGAAATACATCAGAGAATTCTCAGTATAATAGCAGAATCAATTTAAAGCAACATAAAGTTTTCACAGTTGAGGCAAATGGCAAAAGGTGATGGTTGTTGGGGCAGGAAAGAATTAAATGAAAACAGATTATCAGTTCACTTGATAAATCACCAAAATACATTAGGTTAATCCTTATGAATTTCAAACTGGAATTTATAAGGATGGAAATATAGTGAAATTAATAGCAGACTTGTCCAGATAACTATCTTGAAAACCCTCTGATTGTTTATTTTGTTGTTATCCTGATACCATATTATTAAAATTAAAATGATGGGGAACATGGCAATTTCCAATGAAACAATTTTTTTTTCTTTCAGAAAGTCAATGTTTCAGTTGTTTGGTGAGTTGTATGTTTGCTACAACTACATTTCACTTTCTTCTCTTTTTTTGTTGGCAAAGAAAACGAGGTAATCAACATCTTAAGAATTACCTGGTACAGTTTTCCTTAATTCTGCATGTCCCAGGGATTTCTGAGGGTTGCAGTGTTAATTCAACTGCAGAGTGCCAAATTAGCATTTGTGGATTAATGGAAAAAATACTTGTATTCATTCTACTCAGGGATTTATGTAATAACTCCTCAAAATTATTTCCTTCCTCTATTGCTAGCTAGCCTTTCTGCCCACAGTCAAGGCTGATAGCTTTTTTTTAGTATATTTAAACTATTTTAAACCATATTTAAATTAAAATACAAATTATTTTTTTAAAAAAGAAGTTTAAACAGAGAAAATTATTACCGTTTTGACTCTAGATTAGTTGGAGAAGTAAATATACAGAAAGACAAAGATGCTGATTACTCCAGTCAATTGCTGGGTAGAGTTTAGAGAATGTCATAATTCTTTCTCTATTTATACCACTTCTATCTGCTCCCTGCCATAAGCCTGCTATAAACAAAGTGGCAAAATCAGTGATTTCCAGAAAGAAGATTTAGAACTAAGGACATTCAGCCCTGGAGCATCTGGAGAAGACTGCACAAAGTTAAGCTGAGAACAAATAACGTATTACTAAAGAGAGCATAACATTCATATTTTAATTTCTTAAGTTTTAAAACCTAAGAGATACCTTTGGATTAAGAAAATAAGAGTTGTGATGCTCCTATTAATAAAATAACCTTTGGAAATATTGCCTTTTATTTTTGCAGTGTTCATGTTGTGAAACTTCTTATCAGCAACTTAAAATTCATTAATTATATTGCCCCATTTGAAATATTTTAAATAAAAAAAACCTGCTGGGTCATAAAATCTAAACTTGTTCTTGAACGTGACAATTTATAATTCTTCCTCAAGGAAAACTGGAGTTCTAAATATTGTGTTCTTTTTTAAGCACATAAAAAGCATTTAAGTTTGCATCTTTCTCTTTTAAAGCATCAGTATAAAGCCATGCTTCCCATAAGGCACAGGATTTCCAATTAATACATATTCTGATGTGCTCTGACATAATTTATTATCACTGGAATTCGGAATTAGCTGTTTCTCCTCTGCAATATTATTATTTACAAATCAAGTCAGAACTCAAGACCTTCTTTCTTGAACTTTGTTTCCATTCTAAATAAAACTATCTCAGTTAATCTTGGATCCATGCTTCTGAAAATGTATTATTCCATGGGCAAGAAAGCTCACAACTACTTCACATGTGAAAACCTTGCCAATATCAATTCTGTTTATTATTAAGGTTCTTATCCATCCAATGAAATAATGGTTAGAGGGCTACAGATTTAGAAATTAGAGCTCTAATCCCGCTGGCCAAATGACCTTTGAATCAAGGATGTGAAAAATGAAGGTGTTTATTTTTTACATGAGTAACACCTGGAAATCACAGTGGTGTAAGTTGTTTTCTGAATGTTTTTGAAATTGAGTTAAGATTGCCCATTCTACAATCCCATAGTTTTACAAGTAATCTCACAGCAATAATTTAGGTACGAAAATTAACATCACATCCAGTATGATCTTCACTGCATTCTCCAAGAGCCAAAAGCACAGTACCGTATCTCAAAACCATTACTTTGACTTTGTTGTGATAATGTTCATCACTTTTAAGTTACAATGGCAGACATAAAATATGGAGCACAATTCAATGCTATCAGAAAATTGAGCACTAGTTCAAAGCCTTCAATCATGTTATATTTCACAGTGCCAAAAATACAATTGTGTATGCACTCCCACTCATGGAAAATAATTCAAATGCAATAATTGCCCTAAACCAATATAAAGAAGCTTCCCCTCCTTCACCAGACACAAGGATTTACTGTGACTAGAAAAATACTGCAAAAGGAAATTTTAAAAAAGGAAACAAAAAAAATCTGAAATAGATAGAATAATTCACTTTTAGTAACATATTTTAATGCAATACAAAAGCTATGAGTGGCACAAAGAGCCATAGAAAGATACATGCTCGACATTACAAGACAGAATGGAAAGACCTGCACATGGATTAGAGCAAGGGTTCCCAGCCCCTGGTCCGTGGACCGATACCGGGCCGTAGCATGCCAGCAACTGGTCCACACAAACAAGCAAAGCCCCATCTGTGAGATGCAGTCAGCCCACAAAATAACGCACTCTCCACTTCACAGAAAAACCTTTCTCCATGAAACCAGTCCCTAGTGCCCAAACGAGAACAAACGAAAGTACACAATATCATCAAGAGAGTAAAAGAATTGAAATGGAAATGGGCTGTCACATAGCAAGAAGAACTGATGGCAGGTGGACCAAGGAAGTCATAGAATAGCAATAGCAGTTAGACTTATATACCACTTCACAGTGCTTTACAGCCTTTTTAAAGTGGTTTACCCAGCATATTGCCCTCAACAATCTGGATCCTCATTTTACCAACCTCGGAAGGATGGAAGGCTGAGTCAACTTTGAGCTGGTCAGAATCGAACTGCTGGCAATCAGCAGAAGTAGCCTGCAGTACTGCATTCTAACTACTGCACCATCACGGCTCATGGATTCCATTTGATAAAAAGTGTCCATGAAAGAGACTTAAAACAAGATGGATGAACGACATCAGCAAGTATTGTGGGCCCAATTGGCAATAGAAAGCTCAGGACCGTATAGCTTGGAAACATGCGGAAGAGGCATTCATCCTGCAGGAGATAGATAATAGCTAAAATGATGATGATGATAATGATGATGATGATGATGACAGTTTTAATTCTATCAATTTGGGACAAAGCAAACTCTTCAGTCAATGATAAGAAAAGAGACCAGTATGAAAATAATAAAGCTATACTGATTCCTCCTTGATACAGAAAGATTTTCCATGTTATCAGTTTTCCACAGACATCATTTTACAGCTTATTAATCAGGACAGCAATATATATTATGTAAATGCTGATGCAAATAAGTCTTCTTTAATAATTATTATTTAAGCATGTCAAGTATTGGAAAGCTTATGGTGATACTGAAAATCAGACATCCCACCTCATCTCCCCTATACTTTAAATTCTGAATGTGCAAAAGGGTCTACTCTTAAAATGGACTGTTCCGAGTATTTGATTCCATTCCAAGGTCTCATTACTTCCAAAATGGGCCCATTTTGAAGTCAGACCATTTCTGGGTCACTCAGAATGGTCCAAATTCAAGAGGCTGCTTTTCACATTCCTATTTTAATTCTTATAGATATTGTCAGACACAAAGGGGCAAGGCATAAGTGTAATTTTCATGAAATGGAGACTTAAATAATGCTTAATAATTGCTCAGTCAGCTTGGGCAAACAAGGCCCAATGGGAGTGCATAGTATTGAAGGAATTCTAGTCAAGATTTGTGGGGACATTGGATTATCTGCTTCCACTTGGGACTAGTACACACAGAATTCTGAGAAATGAGTTATTTAACTATAACTGGAAAGGACAAACTTTTGGTGTGCTTTCCAGTGTCAGCTCATGGATCACCATAGAAAGCAGATTGTTGAATTAAAAAGGTGTTTGCTATTATTGAATATGACTATTCTTGTGGCTTTTAAAGCACTAAACTGTCTCAGATCAGATACTCCAAGTCTTCCCATATGAAACTATTTGTTTAGATGAGAATTGCACCAGGCCACCTTAAATTAAGAAGACTTTTTCTTTTTCTTTTTGATTCATTTCTTTGTATGCTGCATCTTTTACATTTTAAGCCTTAAGACAAGATATTCCTCACTATGGAAAGCCATCGATTTCTCTTGAATTCTTACTGGGATAAAAAAGAAAGCTGTTTAAGCACTGAAATGGATTTGTTTCCAGATGTAACCACTGTGAAAAGCAAACAAGTAGGAAGATTTTGCACTGTGGCATCCAGATTCTAAAACCAGGTGGAATTAGGGTTCCATGGAGAAATGAAGGTATTCCATTTAGAGTAGAGTTAAAGTGGGGTTGGGTGATGCTTCCTCCTGCATTAATCTGCAGTCACAAATGGATGACTGAACAATGTTTTGTTTGTGTTTAAAATTTGGGTTTACATTGTTACTGATTTCTTATACATAAATTAGCTTTTAACTAATGAAAGCTTTGCAGTATGGAAAACATTTTGGCAGAATTCATAACTCATTTTGCAGATCTCACCCTACATATACAGCCCTCCTGTCTTCTATCCAAAAAGAATGCATTTAATGGGAATGTACGGTACAACATATTATATTGAAAACTGCTGACAAAAAGCACGATTTTGCAAAAAATAGGTAAATAAAAAATACTGTTGATACCAGGATTAGACAGAATTACTAGAAAACTAATTCAAAAGGACAAGTAATCAAGTGGCTTGATTTCTAAAGAAAAACTACACAATGGACATATCAAACATACTATTCTATACTATAGAGCAGACTATATATTCTATAGAGACAGAATCAGTCTCTTGAGAATCTGGGAACTGTAGTTTTCTCATCTGAATCTCTGAAAATTGTGCTTTAAAGACTGCTACTCATTCCTCCTTATAGAACAAAAATTAAGGAGTCTGGTGCTAAAATGACAATCCTGCATAGATATGCACTAGTGTTTTGAAATCTTACTCTCTTCACCAGATCTGAAGTGTTTGGTAGAACAACTACACCACCTTGTGGTTTTCCTTGTGATGACACCTGTTGTCACAGATACTGTTATTATAAGGCAGGCTTTTGTTCTCCAGATGTGTCAACTATGATTTTCAACATCTGACATGATGACTGAAGCAATGGAAGCTATACTCTCAAGTTATTTGGAAACAATGTTGTAAAATTTTTGTCTTGCCATGCTCAAATTCATCTATTATTTTTTCTTCAAAAAGTAACCTCTGCAATTCTCCCTTTCAACGTAACAACAAGCAACTCAGATTGCAAGCAACTCAGATTACTCAGTAGGTTTCATGGCTGTGGAAGAATTTTAATTGCACTTTTGTATTTGTACTTTCAATTATATACTGGGTTTGTTTACATATTTTCAGCAATCGTTTGCCCACTCTAATCCTAAGATTTAAGCAGTTTTAATAATGTGCAATCAAGTGAAAAGAGAATCCATAACTACCATTTAAAAAAATTGGAATGTTGTGATTTAAATAATAGTAAGCAGGCAGAAGCCCTTCTCATTCCCATCCTAGGATAGGACATAGATGTGTCATGTCCCAGTACCTGGCATTGTAGTCCTCATGATATCAATGCCAACCTGACAATCAGGTTCCGCTGCAAGTACAGTGTAATTTCCTTGATGAGAAATATTAAAGCTGAAATTGGATTGGATGCTGCTTAATGCATTTACAAGGACAGGTTTGCCTTGTGAAGTCCTTTGTAACTGTATTTTGTTCCAAGGAATCTTCAGCTTTTCCGCAATCAATTTTCTTATCATCAGGCGGCCAGCCTGCGGAATAAAATGAACAAATCCATTGACAACATGTAAATTGTTCTATCTGAGTAAAAATGTACTAAAATATTATTTGCTTGAAAAACATTTGGACTACATCTTATGAAGTAAATGACAATTCAGTTATCTTTTTTTAAAAAGCAAAATGAATGGATTCAGTATTGCAACTACAATATTTTAGTAAAACTTCTGTGCTTCTTCCAAGAACTTAAAAAGAAATTGTTCTATTCTTATCGACAAAATCATCTTATGAAGTAGGCTAAGCTAAGAGAACAAGAGAAAGTTTCATGGCAAAGTAGAGACTTGACCTTCATTTTTTAAGCAATACCTGTATTTGAGACTTAAAAATATAGTTTTTAATTTTGAAATATATGAATCAATTATATGTACTAGCTCCATATACTAAATTAAATATTTTGATAAGAGCTTTTTTCACATTTCCCATGTTATATATCCATTAACAGTATTTATATTTATAAAATTGACAAATATGCTTATCTGCAAATAATTCTAACTTTGCCTGACTCAATTATTATGTCATTTTTCCCAATAATGCAATACTCCATCCCCTTACATGTAAACAGTCTAAATTTTCCCATCCAAATTTTTCAAAAACTTGACTATAGTATGACAAGTTGCCATCATAAAATCACATACCAACAATTTTTGTTTTAATGTCTCATTTGATGGAACAAAAATATTTTTCTGATGTTAACTGATGAGTTCTAATTTCCAGAACAGTAAATCAACTTATTTCCTTATTTTATGACATAAGTGAAAATGAATCTGAATTCCCTCCAATAATCTGAAGAGACTATTTTATTAATATGGGACAATCTGACTAGGATAATATACGTAATATTTAGAATGATTGTCCATGATAGTTCTTTTATTTGTGATGAAGCAGATTTATAAAGAATTTATAGCCTCAGTTTGTATCCTATTCCATTCTTAAATATATTCCTAAATCTGTTTTTTTTATATTTCTTATTGGTATTCAAGCTCCTCATTTCAATATTGAATAATATTTTATAAATTATTGAAACTAAACCCATTTGGGATTCTTATATGAAGCAATGGCCTATCGATTTCAATATCTAATTCTTTTTTAAGAAGGGTTCAGTTGAGTGAAATACATGTAATCTTCATTTAGAAACGGACTCAACAATTGTTCACAGTTATGATGGCAATGAAAAATTAACTTTATAATCAATCTTTAAATTCATGATTTTTACAGGCTTGTAAAGCAAAAGAAAACTGAAGTACGATCATAAGCATAGATGTGGTTTCACTTAGTGACCACTTTACTTAATGAAGTCTGAAGAGGATGACCTATAGTGATAAATAACAAACTAATGAGTACTATATTTTAAGAAAAATAAAGGTCTATCCTTTAAAGGGAATTGATGTGTATACAGATACTCTAGTTTAGTTATAAGACACAATGTAATTTTTTTCCTATTTATCTTTTTTCATTTCAAATTCAATGTGGAAACAGATTGTGAGGCACAGAAAACAAGTTTAATTCTCTAGTAGATTGTTTTTAAAGATTAAAAACACTAACAGAGAAAAGATTGTCCCTGCAAGAATTAGATAATATTAGAACACTACTTTTAAAAAATAAAATAGTAGAAGCATCAATGGAATTTGAAGCATTTGGCTTTTCTTCAGTTTAACTAACTGAAGTCAACTTATGTTCATAATGATTAAATTTATGTAAGCAAGAGAAATGTGAAATACTTATTTTGTCATGAAATGGGTGACTTTTGTTATACTGAAAAAAATCTAATCATGGTATGTGCCCAGACACATATTTCTCTATAAACATCCAAAATAAATTTTCAAATTAGATTTATTTATGTATTGAATGATTGGATTCTACATTTCCTACTATTATTGAATAAAATATATTGATACAAATGCATTTGTGTTATCTCCAGAACTTCAGCTCCATCTGTAGAGCATAATTTCAGCCTTTTATGAAGACTCAGCTTGTTACTAAACTATGAGATGTTACTAAAACCCTAGAAGAATACTACACTATTTTTAAAAACAATACTACCACCAAAACCTCTCCTACTGTGTGCCTCAGCCTACATGAAGTTTTCAGCCAAAATTTCTATGTTATGTAATGGCCAGAGGAAAGCTGGAGACAGGTACTAGAAGTTTGATGATCTCATACATGTAAAATTTCTAGTTGCCCTTCTCATGCAGCAAGAGCAACACTACTGATATTTGGCTTGGTATCCAGTGTAGACCTGAATGATGAGCATTAAATCAGAGGTTTAATGTACTTGTCTCTTCTAAAATTTCCAAAGCAAACAGTATGTTTCAAAGGGCGAATAAGAGTGTACCATAGCAGCTTTGGCATCCCGACCAAAAACAAACTGTTCAATGCGCTTTTTCTCTTCAGGCTGCACAAGGCGCATGGCCAACAACCATTCCTCACAGCAAGGGGCCCAGGCGCGGTATGAAAATGCCCAACGTATACTTTCCATGGTGAGGCGCTCCAAGGACACCCTAAAAAGTGATGCTGTCAAGCATACATATTCCAATCATCTGGAAAAGAGAAGAAGCAAAGTTGACCAAACTTTTGAAATTTCTGGCTCTGGTTTGAAAGACTTAAATTTGGAGAGCATAGCTATCATTGCTTTATTCTACCCTCTCTCATAGGGTTATCACAAATGCAAACCTGTGGTTACAACAATAAATTTATCTAGTTATTCACTAGACCACAAAGTGTTTTAGAAGTTTAAAAGAAGTTTAAAGGCAAGCAAATTATTATTCTATGAACTTTTAAAGTGTCAGAAGAGTACAGTTGCAGTAAAAGAGTATATGGCTAGAGTGACTATATTTGCTTGGAAAAAATAATGGGAAAATCTGAAAAAGATTCATAAAAATAAAAAAAAATCATTTTATGTTTATAACTTTGCATACAAAGGGGACATTCAAGAGCAAAACTAAGAAAATAAATCTAAAGGAGCTTTCTAAAATAAAGGACTGCGCTTCATAATAAATGACCTATGGTCACTGTACATGGGGGAAACACATATTGGTATAAAGCAAAAGTCTCCCAAGCTGGCAATTTTAAGACTTGTAGACTTCAACTCCCAGAATTCCCCAGCAATGCTGGGAGTTGAAATCCACAAGTTGTCAAGTTTTGAGACTCCTGTCATAAAGAAACAGGCAAATAGATCTGGGAAACGTGCCTACAAAGTTGACCCTTCGAGGACAAGATGTCAGTGCTCGTCCGAGTTTTAAAATGATTCTTCTAATTTGTTCCTAGCATTATTTAGAAAAGTGACTTGGCTTGGCAGGCACAAAAATGATTGATTCTGAAAGTAGGGAGAGGATAACAGGTCTTCCACACCTGAGCAGGTCATGGAGTTTTCTTCCAAGACCACTAAACCAGCCAATCAGTGGGCTGCTCAGAGTGAGTTAGAGGAGATTTCCCCCCAATCACAACCAAGGTTACTCGGAAGACAACGAAAGGGGGAGGGGGCGCAAGCAAGGGACAGAGCAGAAGTATCGCGCGCTAATGCTGCTTACCGCGAGCCTCTTTTTCTCTAAGCGATGTTGAACCTGAAGCCGGAGAGGGCGGAAACGCAAAATGCGACGACCAATCGAGGCTTAGAATACCGCCGCCAGGAGAAAAAAATCTAGCCAATCAGCGCTGACTGCAAGCTTCTGCAAGATGCATAGAGTTAGAAATTCAAAGATAACTGCTCTCGGAGCGGACTTCTGTTCAGCATTTTACCACCGTTCAATAAGGAAAAATAACCTTTAGCAATAAGACACAAAAGAGTTAATGGGGTTACTAAGGGGTAAATTCGCGCTCAACGGCACCGCGCCCTTTGCGGATTGGGAAGAGGCGGGCTTAAAGGAGTAACGGACATATGCCCATACGAATAACAACGAAACAGTTGTTTGACTGACAGGAGAGAAGCCTATAGACGAGCTACGGTGGGTTTTGTGCGGCCGATGTAGCAGATGATTCCTACAGCTCCTGGGGAGGATGCAGGTAGGTAAAAGTGACGCGATACAACCAGAATTTTAAAAAAAATGGGATGGGAGACGGGCTTCTCTGAATTATAGTGAATTCATTCTCGCAAAAGATGCTACGCCTGTGGAACTGGTATGAAGCCCCTTCTCTTCCGAAATGCGGTCGATTTAAGAAAAGAAGCTTCAAAGGCCATAACGAGCATGCGCGCGTACTTGTCCATGCGCAAAAACAACTCAGTAGATGCCTCTGGTGGGCGTGGCGTGGAAAGTGGAAGCCGTTAAGAAAACAAACGCAGCGCGGTCGGGAAGGCGAGGCGGGGGTTGCCTTTTTAGGGTGCGATTACAATGTGGAAGAATTCGTAGGTGATGCTCGGTCCAGTTAAAATTAGAAAAAGAAGTGTTGTGCAAAGCCGACATCGTTAGCCAGCCATATGTGCTAGGCTGGAAATCGGGAGACTGAGTTCTGTTCCCCACTTATGCACGAAGCCAGCTGGGTGACTTTGTGCCAGTCACTCTCTTTAACTCTGGGAAGGAGGCAATGCCGAATCACTCTGAAAACCTTGCCAAGAAAACTACATAGACACGGGGCGGGGGGGGGGGCAATCAAATCGCACTTTATTTGTTAAGTTGTGCAAAGCTACCATTATTTCCAACAGAATTAGGCTAGAAATCAAAAGCTCAACAGCACCTCCTTCCCTTCCAAAATCTGTTGCCTTCCAGAACTGCTGGAATTACACTTTTTAGAATCTCGAGATCGCAGAGGATTGATTCTTTCTTGAGTTTTAGTCCAGAGGATTCTGAAGGTAGATTTAGAAAAAATCTCTCTCTAGAAGTCGAGATGCTTACGCATAAGCTTTGATGGGCTGTTCTTTTCAGATGCAAGGAATATTATTCAGACAGGTGTATATCCATTTCGGTTGTAGGAAGAGACTGAAGGGGGCATATTTGAGTCAAACAGAAAAGGACTGCAAACTCAAAAGGTATTGACAGTTACAATTTCAGTGCAGTAATTGTTACTGAATGACGTGGTAGAGCTCATTCCCAGGGAAAATGCCTGGATAGTATTTAACAATATAATTTGATATTATTGCTAAAACTGCTACATTTTTATTAAATTTATTTTAATGATTATTTATGTCCTCTAAGGATTTAGGGGAAAACTTCCCATCCTTGCAAAACTGTTGAGTTCATATGACTCATCAAATGGTGGATGTACAAAGATTTGAAAGTTGCTTATTGGAGCCAAGTTCTGAAATGAGACTACGAAATTAAATTTTCACTGTATTTCCTTGGTTATGACAATGGATAGCAGAAATCTTCATTTAATTTTGTGCGCTTGTGTTGTGACTGTGGAGATAAGTGATCATTGGCGCTCTTTTTGAAAGAAGCTTTTAGTCCTATGCTATTTTGTTTTAGCAGACAAGAGAGTTCTTTACTGCAGTAACTACAGTATGAGTCATCAGCAGAGAAGGTATAGTTTTTATTATGCAAGTCCCAGTAAGAAGCACAGAAAATAATATGTCCTGCTAGATTCTGGCACATTTCTGTGGCTTCCATAGCTCATTAATGGCAACATTTTGCTTGATAAGCAAGATTTAAAAAGATTTTGCTTTCATTAAATATATTATTTATATATATTTACTACGCAAACATGATGCAATCATAGACCTAGTGCAAAGAGAAAAAGTGCAGTGAACAAGTGAAATATTCAGTGATTACTTCTATTCTACTGTATTATTATTTACTGAGTAGGGCCACCACATCTTTGTCTCCATTTAGTTTTTCCTATGAATTGGTACATCTAAGCTTGTGGTGGCGAACCTATGGCATGCATGCCACAGGTGGCACGCACAGCCCTCTCTGTGGCCACGTGCACTGTCGCCCCAGTCCTAAGCCTTCATCTGGGTTTTATAAAACCTTTTCGCTTTAGGCCTCCGCTGCCATGTGCAAAAAAAAAGAAAAGTTTCAATCAATTTCAACTTCTCGCGGGGGGGGGGGGAAGATCTCGCAAAGTTGATTGATTGAACTTTTTAGTTCCACCCAGTGTCCTGTTACCACCGCAGCCACGCCCACCCAATGGGCCACACTCACCTAGCACCTGATGATACATAAGTGGGCTTGGGGTTGCAGTTTGGGCACTTGGTCTCTAAAAGGTTTCCCATCACTGATCTAAGCTACCAGAAATATAAAGCTTAATATATGTGTTTGAACATCGTCTTAATTTTTTTGCTTAATGATCCAGAATAGAAGATCAAAGATTTATAATTTATAATTGCTTTGTTGATTTATTTAAGAGTGATCAGCTATGTACTGTAGTTTAAATGAGAAGCCAAATTTTACTGACATTAGTCAAATGAGAAATCATTTAACATAAACACCAAGTCATAATTCTCTAAATTTCTAACATATGATTTTGTGACCATGTGGCTATTATTTTACTGGTTTTTTTAAGTGTCTATGTGCTTTTTTTTCTTTTCAGCTTATTGCAAACTACAGGACCAGTGCAGTTCCATTTTTTTATTTCTTGTTTTTTTATCTTGTAGTTATTCCTCTAGCAGAGAAGGTTTTTAGTTTCCCATAGACTGACAGTATAGGAGATTCAGATATAGATAACTTATTGATTATCTGTCTGTCACAGACTGGAGAAAATCACCAGCAACTATCTCTAAATCTGGACACAAAAGAATATAGTCACCTAGTATAGATGTTAAATAAGTTAATGTTATTTAATACTAAATAAATGACAGATATTTGTTTAATTGCAGGATGGGCTAAATCTGGCAACATACAGAAGCCATGTATGTTAATACAGCAATTCAGAATTCTGATTTAATACTGCCTAAACCAGGAGTAAACAACCTTGGCTCTTTTATGACTCATGGACTTCAACTCCCAGAATTCCTGAGCCAGCCTTAAAAGAGCTAAGGTTGCCTATCCCTGGCCTAAACCATTACACTGAGATAGTCATTCTTGGCTTAGATTTGGACAGGGCTTGAATACTGTCACAAAGAGGTGAAAAGAATATAAACATCTAATATTTAGAATTCAATATTCTGAAAGTATATCAGAAGTAGTTAAAATCAGATCATAGAGATGATTTTCAGAATATTTAGCTATTTGCAGAGAAACAATAAAATTGCATTACTATTTATATTAACCTAACAAGGAGCCCTACTGAATTCAGTGGAGTTTATTTCTTAATAGTAGTAAATAGGATTATGTTGTTAGTTAATTTTTATTTCAGCAAAATGCTTCTGGATTGGAATGTGTTAAGTCATAAAGCTATACAGAAATTTCAGTATCAGTGAGCTACAGTGCAATTCTCCAAGGCATTCAAGTCTTATAAAAGCATTCTAATTTCAGTACTGAATCTCTTCTCTGCTTGTTATTTTATCCCTGGATTAGCAATATAGACAAAGTCTAGGTACCAATGAAATTAGAATTTCCATATTTTAATTTAGATTATTTAAAATGTAATTACACTACTGTGATTCATATGGAGGGCACTCCTCAATACATCAGGACCATGAAGTCCTATTTTTTTTTATTCCCAGTAATTTGTTATGAAAATAATTATGTTTGTAATGTGTATATTATGTCTCTTCACTAGTAAAAGATCAAGGAAGCCATGGACAACCAATATAAGCCCAATAACACCCCACCTTGCAATGGAATTTCAGCTCATGACAAGAAAATCAGTTTTTTGGTAGCTGAAGATCATGGTCAGAGAATCTTAACTGTACTACAAAGCTTCAGAGCTCAAAACATATTTTTTGATTTTAAAATACTTGTAAAAGATGAAGCAATTCCCTGCCATCGTTGTGTACTAGCAGCGTGTAGTGACTTTTTCAGGTAAATCTTATTTTTAACTTGGCTCCTTTACTACTGTATGTTGTTAAAATTGACTAAAAACTAAAAAAGTCAGCCCATGCAATTCAAACTGTAGAATTCTTTGATACTGACTTACACAAATTATATAAAGTTGCATATATAAAAAAATCAATAATTCAGTTACTTGAAAAATTGCAAGGATTTTAAAAGTATCTGTTCATTTTCTGCAGTCTTATTCCAGGCTATTTAGAAGCCCCATTGAATTCAAAGGGACTTCCCATATATGCCTGCAGATGATTGTGCCTTTGTTATTAAGATAACATGATGCTTATACTACATAAAAAAGCAAGTATGTATACTGAGGATGGTACTGATTATCTTATTTGAGTTCTGATATTTTTTTTCCTGATTGAAATTGTATGAATATTGGTAATGATGACAAAACATGTTAATCTTCTATATTTTAATTACAGGGCCATGTTTGAAGTTAACATGAAAGAAAGAGATGATGGGAGTGTTACGATAAGTAATTTAACACCCAAGGCAGTGAAGGCTTTTTTAGATTATGCTTATACTGGAAAAACTGAGATAACAAATGATAATGTGGAAATGTTCTTTCAGCTGTCCTCCTTTCTTCAAATTTCACTTCTTTCAAAAGCTTGCAGTGACTTTCTAATTAAGAATATCGATCTTGTTAACTGTTTGCAACTATTATACATTTCTGAAAGTTACGGCTCCACTAAGCTATTTGAGCATACACTTAAGTATGCCCAGCTCCATTTCTCCTTGCTTCTCCAGTCAAATGATTTCTTGGAAATGAATTTTGAGATACTGCA